CAACCTTCACATCCCCAACCAGCCCTTCCCTAATAGTAAGAACAAGGTCCAGAACCACACCTCATTGGCTCTTCTGCCACTTGTGTCAGGAAGTTATCCTCTCTGCATTGTAGGAACCTTTTGGACTGCGTGTGCCTGGCCCTGTTGCTTTTCCAACAAATATCAGGGTGATTGAAGTCCCCAATGAGGACCAGGGCCTGTGATCTTGAGGCTACTCTCAGCTGCCTGCAGAAGGTCTCATCCACCTCCTCATCCTGATCATGTGGCCTGTAGTAAACACCCACAACAATGTCACCTGTGTTAGCACACTCCTTAATTCTCACCCATAAGCTCTCCACTCGTTCATCATCCATCTGTAGGTGGAGCTGGATACATTCTAGTTGCTCTCTCACATAAAGGGCAACCCCACCACCCCGTCTTCCCAGTCAGTCTTTCCTAAAGAGGACATACCCATCCATGACAGTACTCCAGTCATACGAGCTGTCCCACCATGTCTCTGTGGTCGCAGTGAGGTCATGGCGCTGTGACCACACGCAGGTCTCTAGTTCCCCCTGTTTATTCCCCGTGCTGCGTGCATTGGTATGCAAACACTTAAGAGAGAAGAGAGTGGAGCATCCAGGTATCCCCAGGGGGATGCAAGGGGGATCTTAAAGTAAGATATACATTTAAGCTTATGTTTGTTTTGCATCTAAAGGTAAGGATAAAAAGTGGAGCTCTCTTGTTGATTACAAGAAATTGAAAGAACTGCAACTTTTAACATGCACAGTACTTGGAAAAACTTGAAAACAAAGAAAAACCGCTACTTCTTAGGAAATTTCACTTTTCTGCCTCACACTTGCTTCATTGTATAAAGCAAACTGTGCCTGTGTTTACATCGCAAGTTTCCATGGCTTCTGTGTTTTAGATTTGTATGCTGTCAATTATATAAAATATACCTGCAACTTTTCTTTGTCTTCTCCTGTTTACAGGTAGCAAAACAGAGACCTGTCTTCTTTCTGCATGGAAGTGTCGTACAACTTGCTCTTGAATGCTTTCTTTATCTGTGTTTTCTTGCTTGTATTTCTTTAATCATACATCAAACAAAGAGTTAATGATGGGGGGTATGGAGTAGCTTTTGCTTAATTATCTTTTATTTTCTTTTCATTCCCCAAAATAAACATTTTAAGGTATCAGATTAATCTGGGAGTTATAATCTCTGTGTACCTGTGTGGGAGTGTATATCAAAAAAGCTCTTTCTTCTTTGTTTTGCCCCTTTTTGCTTTTTACCACTGACTTTGTGGTTTTACTACTGTGTTTTCTAGTTTGGTTTTTTTTGTTCAGTATAAATATTCTGGAAAAGTTTTATGCATCTGAGACCATGTCTGTGACTGAGTGGGAGAAGAGAGAAGAGTATGTGTTAGATTTTTATTATTATTATTATTTTTAATCCTTTTACAAGGAAAGGGTTTTTTTGGTGTTGGGTGAGACCACGTGGTCCAGTAGCAGCTGTATTTTCTAATCAGGCAGCCTGACTGGGAGCTGCTGTAGTTGAACAAAAATGTCTATCTTTACTTTTATTCCTTTTTTTTTTTTTTTTTTTTTTTAAATTCGGTATGAAACACAAGCTGATTATTTCTTAGTTGCTGCTGTGATAGGCTAAAGAAAGACACTGTATTTGATTTAACATTCGGCCCCCTCCCCACGAGCCCCAGCCAGGTTCCTGGTTTGCACTATAAATCATTTGGTGAGTTATTGTCATAAAATCTTGAGCTGATTTGTTTTGGGGATTGTAGCTTCGTGGTTGCAATTTTGCTACTCTCAATTTTGAATATATATCTTCTTATTCTAGATCCGATTCTATGAAGTAGTCCATTCCTTAAGAAAAGAGCTAAGTGATCTACAGAAGAGAAAGGAAAGCCTCACAGAAGAACTGAGTCAGTACAAATCCCAACTGAAGTGTCTGACAGAGGTCTGTGCACCTTAATTATCTCAATTAAGATACTATGTAAATAGATATACATGTTGCAAAAAAACTCATTCTCCAAATCATTATTCATGTATAAGATATAAAAGCTTTTTTCCTGTATAAAAATTACTGGGGGGAGGAGGGGACAGGGAGGGAGGGCGAAGGGAAACGTGCTATATATGTTCTTGCATAACAGCTAATTTTAAGTTATGGCTACCCTGCAAGATTTGCTCATGAAACTGTTGAGGGTAGACTCCTCCCAGCTATATTGTGCTTTCTGAGGGCAAGGTTCAGGGCAGAGAAGCTGAGACAGGAGATCCATCCAGCAGTAGTTGAGGGCCCAATGATGACTCAGTGTATAGTTTTCGAGATGGTGATGTCTTGGTAGTAATTTTCTTCACCTTTTGTTTTAATTATATAAAAATGCAATTTTTTTAAGAATTCTTTGGAGTTGCATCTTCTCTGTTATGCTTTTCAAATTTTTATGTTTTATTTTCCCTATTTATTTCTCTACTAAAGAAAAAGATAATTTGATTTCAGGTCCAGTATAAATGCCAGAAGTAAAGAAACAAATTATCTAAATATATTTGATTTTTATTTTCAAAGAGTAATAAAGTTGAAACAGTATAAGAAGAATTTGTTTTTAAGGTATTTATGAATACTTATAGTAACCTTAGTATGTATGCAGCTAAGAAAATCTGTATTTTAGCTTAGTTGCACATACACTTGGAGTTGTGATAAGACAGTTTCAGCTCCCCAGAGTATATTTATCCAAGTCATGGCTAGCAGGGACTGAAATGCCACTGTCATTTTACTACTTCTGAAATTATTCTCTAGTTACCACCTTTTTTTTTTTTTTTCTAATCCTCAAAATTTACTTATGGAATAAGTAAAGTAAATAAGTGAATAAGTAAATCAGATGTATTGAGATATTAATTAGATGGGGATATCTTGTGAATTTCGTATTATTTTTCATTTCTCTTTTTGATTGAATTAGAAAAAAGTAATCAATAAAATTTGTGCTTTTATGTGCTTTAGCATTATTTTTGTGTCATCATCTCTGGTCATCACTGAGATTAAATTAATCCTGTTAACTTTGATTTACATTAGCATTTTCCTTCATTGTACTTTTGATGTGCCCTGTTTTAATAAAATTCTACAGGAGGATTTCAGCGTTCTGAGATTTGACTGACTCCTGTGTTAATTTTTGCTGCAGCAATTTAACTGAGTAGTAGATAACAGTAAAAGTTGTGCTAGAAACAATTTTCTTGGTACATTGACCATAAAATACAGAAACTTCTCATTTTGGTCTTTTTATACCACATGGTGGCAGTATCCACCTTTCCCACTGACATATTTTTCAAAGTTTGAAGTTTACTGTGCTTTTCTTTTGATGCTGATGAGAAGGTGCTAGAATGTTGCCTGTGTTGTACTGAGGTGGTTTTTTGAATGTGTGTACCCTGTTTGCATAATCATGTTTAAAATGAGAGACAATTAGTGAGAATGAATAGCTCAGGTTATTGTTTTGTTGTTTTGGGTTTTTTTTGTTTTTTTTTAAAAAAGGAGATAAGAGATCCAGATGTTGAAATGTCCCAAGAAAAAAAGGCTTACAGTTGTTAATAAAAATTATTCCTTAGGAGTCTCAGGTTTCAGATAAGATCACTTACTACAGGTCTTCCATATGCACAAAAAAAACCCCAAACCTTTACCCTATCTGTTACGCATACAGGTGAGTTTCATAGATTCAATGAAATGTGACCTGTATGAGGTATTTTATGTATGGAGAGATTTAAGAGTCTCTGTATTTTGCTTCTGGCAAGTTCAGATTTGACCTAGTGGCTTGGTAAGTGTCACTGTGACAAGGTACCTCAGGCTGTTTCAGATAGCAAGGTAAAAGGAGCATCATCAATACGTGAGGGTGCTTTGGAATCTCTAATGTACTTAGTACACTAGAGCTGACATACCTAAGCCCCCTCCCTGGAAGTGTTTAAGGCCAGGCTGGATGAGGCTTTGAGCAACCTGGTCTAGTGGAAGGTGTCCCTGCTGATGGCAGGGGGGTTGGAACTAGATGATCTTTAAGGTCCCTTCCAACCCTAACCATTCTATGATAAGCGTCTCTTGCAGTTTACAAAGAACTGGTTTCAAGGGATACTTTTGAGGTAACTTATTTTTGCTCCTTTGATAAGGCCAAGCTTTATTGCAAGGAAATTTATCAGTAGGAAATAAAGCAGTTTCATTCAGAGTTTTATTTAAACTCTTACACTCTTTTATTGTTTTTCTGGTATTCTAATAATTCTTTATTTCCAGTTACATGCAGCATAGTTGCTGAAGTTCCTTGCCTGTTATTTAATAACTTATACTCTTCAAATCATTCCTCTGGTTTCCAATCCAATATTCCTTAAATTTCAAGTTTTCTCCAGCGGTTGTAATATTTTTGATCTCTACGTAGTTTATCAGCAAAGTGTCTTTTCTGAGTTTAAAACTTCTTTAGGAAACTAGTAATATGACTTTTGAAATAAAGGCAATCACTGAAATTAAGACAATTTTTTTTTTTTCTCTGTTTTTTTGCTATTGCAAATAATTAGGACTCCTCCTAATGAGTTTCAACATAGCTTTTTTCCTCTTTGTGGAACATGGAAAGGAAATAAAATATATGCTTATCCCAAATCTCTCTATTAAACACTTGGGGGAGGATCTGGCTTTTCTGGTTGTTCATGGTTGACAGACAAGGTTTGAATGTTTCATACATGTAGACAGTCACCCAGAAGTAAAGTCATGAGAAATATGCAAGAATTGGGTATAGACTTATGGGAAAGTTTATCTAGCCAGGAAATAATTTGAAAAGTTTAAAGGAAGATCCAAACTTGTCTAATGTGTTAAGCCATCGCTAGGAAAATTGAAATGTGAAATGAATTAATCAAATAAGACAACCATCGTCTAAGCTATGTTGTTTTGTGACAAGATGGCTCTAGTACTTTAATTTGGTCAAAAGAAATGAGCTCTAATTTTACTGTTCTTCTTTTGGAGTGTGAACATAAGACCGTTAGATTATTTTTTTTCTCTGATCATGAGCCACTATATACTGTTCTGTGGGAAAGCAAAGCAGTACAGTTCTATTCTCTGAGCCAATGACTGAGCATTGGTTATATAAAATCAGGTCTTCAAACTCACGAAATCTTTTTTTTTTTTTGCTACGGGCTGCCTTTTTTTCCCTTTTTCTTTTTTTTTCTTCTTTTTTTCTTGGTTAGGTGGCAAAAAAACCTGACCAAACAAAACTTGTTGGCACAACAGATCTAGCCTGGCACAAAAGTGAGTGCAGTGGGTGGGTATCGTGGCCTCTCAGCCAACTGCATTTGTAAGCAGCCAGCTGTACCAGCCAGGAAACTTGCTTCTGTAAAAAACTGAATTGTCATTGTAGCCTTTTAGAAACTAATTTTCTAAGACTTGACAAATCCACATGTTCTTTATCTTTAGACAATTCATTAATTTATTTGTATTAGAAAAACTTTTGTTTCTGTCTTCAGGGCATAAAAGAGATCTTTCAAATGTTATCACCTGTATTTATATTCTAGGTATATGAAAATATATTTTGTTTGTTGAGAAAGGGCAGGAGGTCCTAAGTGTGTATCAGCCTCTGCTAGCACTGCTTTAATTCTTAGCATGCTGAGGAGTAAGACCACTAAAACTCTACAACTTTGTAACAAAGTTCTCTTGTTGATTGTCTGTTGCTGCTCTGAGTTAGCACTTAATCAAAACCTGCTGAATCTGGAACACAGACCCAGTAGGATGGGGAAGCTGCTTCTGACGACTGGTAGCAAAGAACATAGTGTGAAGACTGATTTCTAGCACTGGAACGTGGCCTGATGTACACAGCCAGTGTCAAAAGACCTTTATCACCACTTTCTGGTTTTAGAGTGATCGGTGTAAGTGCTTCTGCAATACTACCACTAAGTTGATGGCTCTCTGTACACCATTGCTGTATCTGTGTTTTAGACCAGTGTGGCTCCTCTGATGCAAGGTGCAGCAGCAACAGACTGGGGGGAGGCAGTGGAACTGGTAAAAGCGATGCTCTTGTATTGCAGTGCTGACTGATCCGTCGCCAAATGTAGAGCACAGACTTACTCCAGTCCCTCTTGTACAGTGCTTCAGGTAGAAGCAGTGTTGGTGCCGCCACCTTTGGAGGCACGGATAGAGAAGAAAGTCCAGCTGTAGTGTTACATTACCAGGAGCTTCCCAGAAACAAAACCAGCTTCTGATGTGTGTGTTCCCATGCTGAAGATCAGTGTACTATTTTCAGAGTTGTTTGCTTCCAAAGTGGTTAGAACCTTCCCTCAAACAGCTGTAATTTACTACTTATGTGTTTCTCTCAGGCTGGGGGAAGAGTCCAAGAAGGAAATTCTGCTTTTCTTCGTAGCTCTAGAAGGTTAAGTATTGCTTTCTTCTTCTGGCTATGAGTTTTCCTGGCATTGGTATAGTTTTATCAGGGCTTCCTTTCTTTAGTTATTTTTTTCTGTAAAGTTGCATTCAGGACTTGCAATCAAATTTATAGTATGACAGTTATCTAAAAGCTATAGTTAGCCTAAAGATGAAGTTGGATGTATGTAGGACAAAGATCTCTTCTAAGACTTTGTCTCTGAATCGGGATTAGTAGCTGTCAGGTTTTGCTAGAAATACCTGACAATTTTATCTGTGGTGATGTTTCCCAGCTGGAGGAAAAACATTCCTATAGTCTTCAAAGAGTGAATTAAGCTATTGCACTCAAGGGCCAGTTGGCACTAGATGTATCTGAATGTTGTAAAATTGAGGCTACTGTTGCTGCTCCAGGACTGTGTTCACTAAGACTTTTTCTGAAGTTTGCACATCTGTAATTAAAGACTGCACTCTAGACCCCTTCCTCAGCCCCTGACACCATATCTTTCAAGCAGTGCTTTGATTACTTCGTCTTCACATCTCTTTCTTGAAAGAACAGACGAGGCTTTAGTCTTAAGTGAATGATGCGTCTTCTTTCCTTCACTGTTGTTAATATTTACCTTGTTCGGGGAAAAAAGCTGCAAAAAATATTTTACCAATAACTGTTGGCTTAGTTCAGCGGTTTCATATTTCCAAGACTCGAGAAGACTTATGTATCTACGAAAGTTCCTTTTTCTATCCAACATCTTTCTGTCTCTTTTGATGTATTGCCGTGGTTCATATAGATTGCTAGTTGTAGTTCAGAAGAACCAAATGGCTTAATACTGGTCTCTAATGTAGTGATCTCAAGGGTCCTTTTCTCCTGAGAATATTTCATTGAAGATTCTCATCAGTGCAGATCCAGAGTGTCCTGGTTTTTAGCAGGAACAGAGCTGGGTTTGTTTTTAGTAGCTAGAATGAGAATAGTGCTGCATTTTACTTTCAGCCTGAGATTTGTTATGAGAGGGACACTGATAACATACCAGTGTTTGCATTTTTGTTGCTGGAAGTGAAGGACTTTGTGTTCTGTTAGTCTACAAGCACAAGATTTAAGCGGGTGAGAAGTATTTAAGTTAATAAGCCAAATTGGCATTTAGACATGCCAATGGGATATTCCATATCATATCACATCATGTCCAGTATATTAGTGAGGGGCTCTTCCTCTTTAGCTTTTCGCTTGGGCTCTTGTTTTTCCGGGATTGCGGTTTCGGTTCGGGATTGTCGCTCCTCCGGGATCGTTATCTGGGAATGGGCCAGGCTTGGTCAGTGGGTGGTGAGCAGCTGCACTGGGTATCACTCATTTGTATATTTTGTTACTGTTATTATCACTACTGTTCTTAATATTAATATTATTTTAAGTTTTCTTTTATTTCAATTATTAAATTGTTCCTATCTCAACTTACGCGTCTCCTTACCCTTGCCCGCCAATCCTCTCCCCTGTCCCCTGGGGTTGGGGGGAAGTGGGTGAACGGCTGTGTTGGCTACTAGCCAAGGGCTGGCCCAGTGAAACTATTGCACAGAGAGAAAGAGTTTTTTATTTCTCCCACTTTATTTTGCAATAGAGGCACTTATGCCAAAGCTTTTCTTTCTTACTTTTTTTGCAGAGCTTCCCTGTTTTGGAAGTAGTTTGTCATTCTTGTTTATAATTTTTAGTGGCAGATATTGAGTGCCCCATCTACAGTTCTTGGCAGATTGTCAATTTCATATCAACATACTAGAAGAGATGTCTTATTCATCCAGTTTTGTATAACTTCTTCCTGCCATTTGAGCGGTTGTATTCAAATAAATAATGTACTGACCAATAATTTTTGAATGCATACTATGTAAACAGATTGAACCAAAATGTTATCTTTACTAAGTAGCAGCACCTCAAATAACTTGAGGGAACTCGTTTTCACATCACAACAGTATAGTAGCTTTACATTTGCCTAGTGCCTTTAGATACCTTAGGATACGAACAGAAAGTGTTAGCTTGTGTAAGTGATACTTCAAAGATGAAGTTATTTTAAATAAGCTTTTTAAAAGCAGGATCACTTTCTTCCACAGGCTTATCTGTAGACAGTCTGAAGAAGTCATGTTACTTCTGCCTGATGGGCTGATTAATCTTTTTCCCTTAATTTCTGTTGCTTGTTTTCTTATACCCAAAGGCTTTTTGAAAGAAAAAATCCCTACCATGTATTATGTGACACTAACTTTGTTCAAAAATTATGTATGTCACCCAGTTTTTATACTTGAAATTTAGGTAGGTGTTCATATCAAGTGACTGCTATAAGCTGCTATTCATTCCAGACTGAGGATAACAGTGAAGTTTAATATCATAAAACTGAGGTCTGTCATAAGATCTTTCCGTTTATCTACCAGTTTGGGTTTTAAATGGTGCAGATGAGGCAAGTTCAGAATCTTCTCACTTGAAACATCCCTCTGTTGATAGTGTTTGTAAACCAAATGGAAGCGCTTCTTGGTAGGGACTGCTTCACATGCTCTGTAGAAACCACCTGTACTGGTTAATACTGGGTCTCTTGGACAGCTCTGTTTACAATTTATTTAGGCAATGTTTGCCTACCTATCTCTCACAGGATGGGTTTGTTGGTTTTAACTACCTTATCTGTCTGAGTTGCTACTCTCTGCAATAGCAAAAATTAGTAAGAAGCGGAAGAAAAGACATGCTTTTTTGACAGGATCATCACAATCACATTCTATATGAGGAAGTACTGTTGGTCCTTTAATTTTTTTAAGGTTTGTGGACTTAATTAAGTGATTTTTATTTATTGTTGTTATTTCTGGGACCCTCATTCATGTCCTTCAAAGTGTTCTGTATCTTGATCCTTTTAAAAGGATTAAAATACAACTTTGGCAACTAAAAGACGTAGTTTACATCTCAGGTATTAGAAGGAACTAATTTTGTAGGTTTTTAGCTGTTGTGGTAATTGGTGCTTTAGAGCTCTTTATGATGAATTTGTCCAGAAGTTAACCAATTTCATTTTATACTTCTGGTAGTTGTCTTCTAGCTGCTAAATGTGTAATACTGTTGGAGCTTCAATAGCCCACTCTGCGAAGGGTCTTTGAATTCCAGCATGGTATTAGCAGCAGAATGGCACAGGATATCCACAGAGGAATTGTATCCAAACTTAATCTTTCAATTTGCACTTAAAAGTTAAGTGCCCTTAGCACCATTTCCTATTGCAAGATGAGTCATGTTTGCACTGTATAACAGGGTGCTTGCACCTGTATGTTACATGTTTGAAACTCCAGCTAACTTGTAGATGACGCCTTTAAAAACATCTGACAGAGGCTTTACTATTATGATAATGCCATCTTTATAAATTATGGTATGTTAATTGGTTTGAGAAGAAAGTGTTCTATCGTGTTAATTTGTTTAATGTGTAGCCATTAATTAGGGTAAACAAAAATAACAAGCCATATATACCAGTATGTTAGGATGAATAACAGTCGTGTCTTTAGATGACGTGTTCTTAATGATACACCAAAATCCTCAGGAAGACTTTCCTAGTCTTGTAATTTTGTGATTGATCTAATGCGATTTTAGTGCAAGTGAAAAGGACTAGATTTGTGAAATATAAAATGAGAATTTCTTTTTATTAAGAGAATAGTTACAGTCTGTTTAGTAGCATAGGGAGCTTTCTATAGTGTCTTACAAGCATTTAGGTGTGTTTTTCCAGAAGGCATTCTTTCAGTATTTATGGTGCCTGTGAATTTGGTCAGAGTGTTCTTTGTGTCTTTCCATCCCGATCCTAGAATATCATCCTTCTGTTCATTCCTCCTTGGAGACTATATTTAAGAGTCATCCACTCCATATATGCTGTTGTCCTAAACTTTTCTTGTCTATCAAAAACCAGCTAGACACAATTACTATCCTCTCTTATAACCCTAAATAAAGCATAGCTTTCAGTTTATTTTGAAAAATCACGCACTCATACAATGTCCATCACTGCAAAATATATTTAATGTGCAGTGGCTAAATGGCTGGTTCAGTAATCACATCTCTAAGGCAGTAATTTGATTGTGCATTCACCGTCAATGAATAATATCGTGGTGTCCTTTCAGTATAACCAGGTGGAGTTATTGTTTCTTAAGCATCCGTTGTCAATTATCGAACCTGCCACATATTAGCCATCACAGAAAGAAACAGAACTCTGTAGTATTCTGAGAAATGGAATATGGAAAATATCTAGATGCACAGGGGATAGTCTTAAATTTTTAACACATAATTCTTTGCTGTCCATAATTTTTCCGTAGTATAGATGGATGAGCATTATTTTGGGGGTTTTTTTTGTGAAGAAATTACTTAGGAGTACAGCATTTAGGATGAGCAAGTAAGGTAAGCTTTGTGAGAATAAATACTCTGTAGAAAAATCTGAGAAATGGAATCTAGGTGGTGGAATAAGGTATGAAAGTCTGCTGTTCCTGTGGGGGGTGGCGGGGAAGAGGAAGATGATTAAGGAATCTATTTATCTTCAAAAGGAATAACCAGTGTTTTAAAAGACTTTGGTCTCCTTTTTATTGTTCCCATAGTAGTCTCTCAAAGTATATGAGGAGGAAAAAGAAGGGAAAATGAAAATTAATGCTGATAGACCAGTAAATAAGCACCTTTTCTCTTTTTTTTTTTTTTTGATTAAGGAATCTGTTTATCTTCAAAAGGAATAACCAGTGTTTTAAAAGACAAATACTTTCTGTGTTTCCTTGCTTTGGTCTCCTTTTTATTCCCATAGTAGTCTCTCAAAGTATATGAGGAGGAAAAAGAAGGGAAAATGAAAATTAATGCTGATAGACCAGTAAATAAGCACCTTTTCTCTTTTTTTTTTTTTTGGATGATATGCTTCAGCAAACATAAGTTACCAGATACTCCTGTATTGTAACTGGCTGAAGTTTTACGTATAATGACAGAAGTTCCCAAACTTCCCGAACAAACAGTTCTTTTTTTGTTTTTCAAATGGACCAGCAAGGATCTTCACAAGGAAACTTGTTTGAAAATGTTGTAAAGGTGGTGTGACTTTAGTGCTCCTGCTATAGGTTTGTATACCACCGGCTGTATGTATGAGGGTTACTGGTCTTTGAAGTTGTGCTAATCACAGAGTCACAGAATGGTAGGGGTTGGAAGGGACCTCAGGTGATCATCTAGTCCAACCCCCCTGCCAAAGCAGGTTACATTAGCAAAAATAGGTATGTTAATCAACTATTTAGAGCAAGGTAAAAATAAGTTGAGTATCAGTACAGCTGGTTACTTACTTTGTGATGTATGCTGGATTTCCAAATACTGAGACAAATGAAAATATTGAATATTCATAAGAGGTCTTCACAAAATTTAGCTGGTGGTTGCTTGAAGTAAATATCAGTGTAGCTGTCATCATTTCAAAATGTCTTGCCTTCTAGAGCTATGAAGACGAGAGGAGGAGTCGGTCAGAGCTTGAGGTTAGATGTCAGCGTTTAACACTGGAACTGGCTGATACCAAGCAGATGATTCAGCAAGGTGATTACAGACAAGAGAACTATGATAAAGTAAAATGGTAGGTATCTCTATAGTTCAAGTGTTCTACTGACATATAAATGTTAATAGATAAACTTCAGCCTTGACTGACTAGAGTTTTTCACTTGATATTTGGCTTATGCACACCACAGATATTTTTCCTTGCCTCAATCTACTAATGGTTCAGTTATCTCCTCTAGTATATTGCAGTCATAAGATGAACAACATTTTGAAATCTGATGCATCAAATTATCTTCCTAGAAGTTTATATTTAGGGATCCACTGTGTTTTCAGAAGAGCCTGCTAATCTTATCGCAACTAAAGAAGTGGGAGCTGTTGATGCCAAGCATCTTAGAACAAGTACTCTTTTTTTCCTAGGTTAAAAGCAATGACGTAACAAAAGGCCATGTGCTCCACTGTGTGGTGCCTACACAGTGAATGAAGAGGGTAGGACCTTAGGAATGAATATTTAACAACTTAAGATATCCTTGTAACCATAAGTTTGAAAGGGCTGTTATGAGAACTCTTTGTCAGAGAATCTTAGGATTGCCTTAGTGAATTGGTTTAACTGCAGGAAGTTGCAATGTCTCTTTTTGTTTTTAAAACATAGATTTTAGACTTCTAGCCTACGCTTTGAATGCCCATCTCATAAACAACAGATACAAATTAGTGAAAATGGACTTCTTAGGAATACACTCATAGGCATATATTTCACAGTCCTGCTCCCAAATGGCTTTTTCAGAATGCTTGCAAATACAAGAAATCTGTCCTTTGGAACATTTGTTAGGAAATGGATTAAAAAAAATGGGGATTATGAATAGAAAACACTCTGTCAGCTCCTTAGTGGCAAAGCCGTTTGTGTCAGTAGCTGTGCCTGAGTTCATTCAGTATGAACAGCTAAGTCATTTGAAGGATGTCTGTTTTCTGAATAACTGTTCACAGCTCTATGTACTAAAACAACCTTGGAATCTACCTGGAAGCTTGTTGCAAATAGGATGGATTGATGCTGTGCTTTGCTTCCCATGTGCAACTGCATCTTAATAAGTGGATTGTAATAACTTTCATGTGAATAGCCCCAGTGTTTAACAGTGTGCATTTAAAATAGTCTTGAGTTGAAAAAGGCATGAATGAACATGCCAAAACTATATTTGAGAGAGTAGGTTGTATTCATCTGGGTAGGCACAGATGAAGGGGAGAGGAAAGCACTGTTGGCATGACTGCATGAGGATATTTGGGAGCATGGCAGGAGTTAATCACTTCCAGTCTCATTTCTGCCTTTAAAAATGCTCTGTCAAATCTTCTGGTTCTGGCATACTGTAAGTTATCTCAGTTTTAAAGCTGTTCTATGCTTAATCCAAACCCAGTTAGCTTTTTTCCAGACTGCAGGCTCATACTGGCTCATTCATTTCACTGTTCTGACAGGGTCAGATAGAGTGGAGACGTAGAGCCACTTCTTTGTGCATATGGAAAGCTCTCTTATTCAGGACACCAACATAATTTTTGCAGCTGTGTCATATATATTTTAAACACGAGAAGAGTAATACAACCCTCTCTGGTATCAAAGGACTGAATACAAGGGCGACTAGTAACTGAGAACAAGTATACATTGCTTTCTGTTTGATTAGGAAGATGGGAATGAAGTTGCTTTAGTTTTTTATCCAATTTCAATGTCTGCGAAAGATTTGAGAGAGTGTTACGGGAAATAGAATCAAAAAGTTGATAAAGCTAAAAGGGTGGACAAAGGTACTTGCAGCTCACTGCTAAGAGGAGAAATGTAGAGCTCAAAGTTACACTAAAGAAGAATAATCAGAGGAGGATGAAATAATTTAGGATAGGAATTCAGGATTATTGTATTATAATTTTGGATTATTTTTTAAATATTTGGAAATGAAGAAAATTATTTCATATAGTAAGATACCATTGCAGGTGTTAATAACTAAAATAGGTACAATTATCACTAATTGCCCTATGAGTGACTGGTTGGAAGAAGTCAGTGTCATGAACTAAAAGAAGGCTGAGAAATTACAGGTGCACAGGAATCTTGTTCATTACACTTTATGCATCTAATAGTTTCACTTTATTTTAACAGTGAACGTGATGTATTCGAACATGAATTGTCAGAACTCAGAAGAAAATATGAAATATTAGAGGTGTCACACAAAGCACAAGCCAAGGAAAGAAATGACTTATCAAAAGAGGTAAATGTTAAGTTCTTACTTCAATAACTGTCTACTTCTTCACCTCTTGAATATAATTCTTTGTTTAATCAAGTCTATCGGGATCACCTGTAGGATCATGGAATAATTTAGATTAGCATGGTCCTCAGGAGACCAGCTAGTCCAACCCTCCCATGCAGTGCAGAACCAGCTTAGGTGGGTTGCTTAGGACTTTGTCAAGTTTTGAGTATCTCCAAGGGTGGAAATTCACAGCCTTCTTGGACAATCTGTTCCAGTGTTTGTCCACCCTTTTTGAGAAAAAGTTTTTGTAAAATCTAATAAAGTTGTCACAGCTTTTTTCTGTTGCCTCTTATCCTGTCCCTGTGCACTTCCAAGAGTCTGGCTCTTTCTATGCATTCCAGTTGGATAGGTGAAGATAACAATTAAGACTTTCCCAGCCAGATTTCTCTTCTGAAGGCTGAAAAAAAAAAACCATTTCAACCTCTTGTACATCATGTACTACAGTCCATGAGCATCTTGGTAAGAGCTCTTCTGGTCTTGCTCCAGTACATTAATGTGTGTCTTTATGGAGAACTCAGAATGGGATGTGGCACACCAAACACAGTCTCCCAAGTACTGAACACAGGAAAAGAATAATTTTCTTCAGTCTGTTGTCTGCATTGTTGCTAATATAGCCTAGTAGGCACTTGGCCTTCTTTGCTGTTGGGGCACACTTCTGGCTCATGTTAAAGTTTGTTCGACTGATATTTGCCTGTCCAATCCATATTTTGCCAGTTTTCCCATAGAAAAGTGATGGGAGATGGCTGAAAGCCATGCAGAAGTCCAAGTAAATGACATGGACAGCTGTCCCCTTGTCTGTAGAGCCAACTTTCTTGTCAGGTTTGCTAGGCACACTTTGGCCTTGGTAAATCTATGCTGGTTGTTTCCAGTCACCTTTTCCTCCATATGCATGGATATGGCTTCCAGGAGGGTTTACTTTAGAATCGTTGCAGGGACTGACCAAAAGGAATAGAGAAATAATTCATTGGTTGTTCTGAACTCATTTGTGAATTTATTTCTTAATGTGATATGAAAGGTTACTGTATGAGAAGGTTGTTCTTGACTTCTGTACTGGTCCAGGCAAGAATCAAATGGAGGATCCTTGCATGGTAACACTTTGGCAGCTGGGTAAATGAGACCAGTTACACCTGAGAAAATTCAGGGGAGATTGTGTTCCTTAGTGTCTCTGTATAACAGCATTACAGATAAAATAGTGGCTATAGTTACCACTTTAAAATTAGTACTCCTTTGCCTGATTTTACAGGTAGCTACAGAGATAACCTGAAACACTATGGAAGAAACTGAGTTTCTGTTAGAAAATATTTTTTATGTTCTCCTCTGTTCTATCAACCTGAAGGCTTTGTTAGGCTGTTTATTCATCAGTGTTCTAGTGCTGTAAGAGGACATCAGAATGCGGGTTTGTTCTCAGCATATAGCATTGGCCCAAAAAGTATTGTCGTGTACATCAAGTTTGTATGTACTTATCCAGTACTGCAGTGTAGCAGCAACAATGGCTTTTTCTTCATTAACTTCATACTAAATTAATCTGAGAGGGAATAAAAGTAGCACTATTTTAAACTAAAATACCGTTTCAAACTATGCGATTACTTGAATCTCCTGGAAGGTCTGTGGTGATTTTTATGTATGCTGATACAGTATCAGAAGTTCTGGATTGGAAGAGCATACAATTTTGTTTACATAGTATTTATTTATTTCAGGGGAGGAAGAGTTAGAGGGGTAGTAACTCAACTACTAGATTACTTTTCTTCCTGATATCTGTGTTCACTGTGGATATACATATTACCTGTTACTGGGAGAGAAAGGGTAGTTGTGGGTTTTCTTCTTAAATAAAACATAGTATAGGACAGGCATTTATACCTTATCCTGTGTGGTGCTCAGCAGGTGGGCATATGGAGAGAAGCATGTCTCTAAGATAAGAGCGCTGCTTGCCTGTTTTGGGGGTTTTTTTTAGTAGGGATTTTCAGCTGTTTAACTAGTTGCTCCATGTCTTTGACTTGACTATCTCCCTTAAGTAACCTTTGGTCTTTTTATGACTTAGAAAGGGTGAATTCTATCCAAAACATGTACATGATGTCTTTATAGCTTTGGGGGACATATTTCTGATAAGTTATTAATTTATCATTCTTTGAACTTGACATGTGACATCCTCAAGAACTTAAATGGCAAAATTATTTAAGGTGATAAAACTAAGTTTTGCTATCATGAGTAAGGAGACACTCTGCATCTGTGTCGTGCTCTGTGCCTGTTCTCTGACAGCATTCACCTCAAATAGATAGAGATTACTCTCTCCCACACCATTTTCTTATTGGAGTAGTAAAGATGACTGATCTGGTGATTGGGAAGGCTGTTACAGAGACTCACAAGATACGAATGTTTCTACTTTGGCATCAGTTCAGCCTTCTATAGTAGCTCCGTGCTAAATGAAAGTCAAAAAAAAAAAAAAGGCACACAGAACCCTCTGCCCTTGGTGCTGGCCTGGAACATTAACCTTGTCCACAACAATCATGGTATATTTAAGCCCCAGACCTTGCAGTTTTACTGTTTCTTTATGGTGCAATAATCACTCTGCCCTTAAACTTTTCACTTCTGTTTCTGAGAATGTTGTAGCCAGTATGATGACAGGTTGGCACCAAGACTCAACATCAGTATTTCTGACATAGTACTATTCAGTTCTGTCACTATTCAATACTTCAGTACTATTTAGATACTGAGATAGATTAAGGGACACTTTACCTATTTTTCAGGTGCCAACTACCAGAAATAAATCGTAAAACTTCAGAAAATTATAATTTTATTAAAGTCTTTTTTCAGCCTAAAGCTTAACCAACTTACATTAAGCATAAGTGTAAACAGATTTTTGGTTCAGATGATTTCACAGAAGAGAGTTAAAATGAAATTGCAAAAATGTGTACATAGGTTAAATACTTAACTTGAAGTTCATGTTAAAGTGTTCTATTTAATGCCTTTTATAGCTGGCAACCATACAACAATCCCTCAACTTGTTGCAAAAAGATAAAGATTATCTTAATCGCCAGAACATGGAGCTTAGTGTTCGCTGTGCACATGAAGAAGATCGTCTTGAAAGACTTCAGATTCAGCTAGAGGATGCCAAAAAGGCTAGGGAAGAAATGTATGAAAAATATGTTGCATCCAGGTAAGTTATTGTGTGTTCATGTCTATCAGTAGGCAAGTTATTTTAGCTGTTTTGCCTTGTTTCTTGCACAAATCCTGTGTAATTAAAGATAATTTTAAGTTTCAGAAAGCTCCTCCATATCATGTAACTAGAAACCAAAACAGAACATTTCTGTTGGGTCTTGATGTGTATCAGGAAATTTTTTTAAGCCTTTGATATAAGACCATAGCAGTGAAGATGTTAGCATTGAAAGTTTATGGCAACTATTCTCTTAGGTGTATAGAGAAATTTATGGAGGTAATTATAATTAATTACAAAAGAGATAAAAACTCTTTAAAGTGCATATGTTACATCTCCACCCTCACCCTGAATTACCTGCGTTAAAAACAGGAGTATTTGAAAGACAATCTAAACTATTATTGCAGAATGAAATATATTTCGTTTTCACAAATGCTTAAAATGGGACATAGTGTGTTTCATATCAGCTATTAGAGCTATCAGTTTCTCATACCTCAAGTTTGAATACAAATTCTCTAAATGTAACCTTGAGAAATAGTTTGATCGTTGTATACTAGCCACAATGGTAAATAATGTCAAATCCTATGCCGTTTGAGTTGGTATAGATATATGTATGGGATGGTGAACAGGAAATACCACCCTATTCAGCTACATGTCTTGCTACATATGTAATGCTATACCACAAAATTGCATAGACTGATAGAACATCTCAAGTTGGAACTGACCCTTAAGGGTCATCAAGTCCAACTTTCTGCTTCTCGCAGGACTACCTGAAACTAAATTATATGACAAAAAGCACCATCCCATTTCAAACCACATTTAGATTTTTCTTACTCAGAATTCAAGGTTATCCAGTTCATGTTACTTCCCTTCGTCTAGATGTCAAAAAATATCATTTCAATATGAACATAAAACCATTTTTTGGTTAGTAGTGTGCTTAAAAAAACACCTGTGGACTGAATGACTGGGGTTAGAATATAAAGTAGGTTCAGCTTCTCTTCAGCTGCTTCCTTCTGTTTGAATGAAGAAGGTGGAACTGCAAACAGCAGCTATAGATCTTGTGTCCTTGTATAACGAAGATGAAAGGTGCTAGTATGACTCTCCCATAACACAACTAAAAGACAAATTGTTATCTAAATGGAAGTAGAAGAGCACTCTACTGAAATTATCAGCTAAGGAGTTCCAGCCCATATCAGAAGTGTTTTAATACTATTTTTCCTTTCAATGCAGTCACTTCAACTTTTTTAAAATTAGTTTTACCTGTGTATATATCAGAACTAAGTTCACCTGTAACTTCTGCATTTGAAATAAATTTTTAAGACTTACTTTTAAATGACACTTTAAAAAATCATGTAAGTCTCAGCAGTCTTCCTCTAGAAATGTGCTTGTAAGCACTGCCTCTTGTAGCTGTATTTCTCTTTCTAGAAAACCACTGTGAAAACCTTATCCTGTAATAATGATGTAGAGGCTCTTTTAAAGAGCTGTCTACATTTGAGAAACCTAGAAAGAAATGTATGTATAGAATCATAGAATGGTTTGGGTTGGAAGGGACCTTAAAGATCATCTAGTTCCAACCCCCCTGCCATCAGCAGGGACACCTTCCACTAGACCAGGTTGCTCAAAGCCTCATCCAGCCTGGCCTTAAACACTTCCAGGGAGGGGGCATCCACAGCTTCTCTGGGCAACCTGTTCCAGTGTCTGACCACCCTCACAGTCAAGAACTTCTCCCTAATATCTAATCTAAACCTGCCCTCTTTCAGCTTAAACCCATTTCCCCTTGTTCTGTCATTAACTGCCCTTATGAAAAGTCCTTCCCCAGCTTTCTTGTAGCCCCTTCAGGTACTGGAAGCCGCTATAAGATCTCCCTGGAGCCTTCTCTTCTCCAGGTTGAACAGCCCAAACTCTCTCAGCCTGTCCTCATAGGAGAGGTGCTCCAGCCCTCGGATGATCCTGGTGGCCTCCTCTGGACTTGTTCTAGCTGCTCCATGTCTCTCTTGTGTTGGGGGCTCCAGAACTGGACGCGGTATTCCAGGTGGGGCCTGGAATGTAGCTTGCCTCTACCACAGTCTGGGACACTGTGCAAGCCTGCTTCACTGTCATTTGGAATATCAGAGGTCTCTGTCTCTTGCATTTTAATATGAACTGAAGAGAAATTCTGTGACTCTTACTTTGCCTTTAGAGATCTTGATACTGTCACTGGGTTTCTGTACTGTTGCCATATCTTAGTGAAACAGGTTGCAGTGGTGGAATCCCCACCCCTGGAAGTATTTAAGAGTCGTGTAGACACAGTGCTTAGGGACATGGTTTAGTGGGGACTTGCCAGTGTGAGGTTAATGATTGGACTTGATGATCTTAAAGGTCTTTTCCAATCTAAGTGATTCTGTGACATAATTAGTATTGGTCACTCTTTCATGATGCTAATTTTCATAGTGGAGATATTAGCTGTAGTGAATAATGCAGGTATATCTTCTCTCCTCTGGAGATCGTTATTGTCTTTTGCTGGGACAATATAACATTGCAAAGAGGACAGTGTAGTGTACTGAGCAGCATGTGTAGGACCACACTGCCGCTTGGCAGCCTAGATTGTATTCAAGGTTCTGCTGCTGACCTGCTGATGAACTTTTAGCAAGTCATTTCAGAATGTGAAAATGTAATGTAAAATGTAAAAATGTTAATGTTAGATTTATTTTGTAAAATGAGGGTAATAATATCCTTTTGCAAAGTACTTTGAAACCTTAATGTGATCTGCAATATTGCAGAAGCTGTCCCTTCTTTACGTTTTCCTGAGCACATGTACACGCTTTCTGTGCACCTTCTGAGACTGTGTCCCATAGTGGGGATTCCTGTCTGTTCAGCAATTTAAACCATCCATCTCTCAGATGAAATGTCTATAGTATTAGATTTCTTAGGGAGCTCTGCAGAATCCTATTTATTTGTTAGATAAATTAGAGAGGTACAAAAGTAGAGTGAGTGAAAACTGTACCAACTAATGGATATTCCACAGTCCTCACTGCTACCTGGAGGTGACATCAGTTTGGGTAATAAGCTTCTATTTACTACCTTTTGAAGAATTTGAGACTTTTAATGTTCACTTCGCATCTGGATCTCTTTTGGTTGCTGTAGTTCAGGATGAAAACAAACCCAGTATTTATTTTTAGAAGTAAAGAATAATTCACCTTCTGGTCACTGTCAGAAGTGCTGGCATTGGGGTAATGTAGTTAGAAAATCACAAACTTTAAGAAATTGAGGGATTAACCTGAGAAATTTTTAGAAAGACACACTTCAAAATAGGTTGAGATTATGGCAAGGTGAATGACAGCACCTCATAGCTACAGTTCTTGGGAATCTATGTGTAAGCACAAACCAACACAAAAGATTTCCCTTTATATCTTTAAACTTAAAACACAATCCATAGCTGCATTGAGATGCTCAGGTCACATTTAGTTTATTCACAGTATAAAGCCTTATGAATAATAGGCCTGGAAAGAAGCTCATTAAAGCCTGCAGCCTGAAGAAAGTGAAACTGCTCGATAAGGCAAAAACATACTCAATTGCTGCTCAAGCAAAAGACTTTGACAGCAGGTCAGGAATGAAAAATCACAAACGATTGTCCTTTGCTTCAGCAGCTACTCAGTTGATGTTTATTAAAAGGTATTGGCAGAGCAGTCAAGTTATGTGATCAGAATATGCCCTTTACTATACCATTTGTTTATTTTAGTCATAGTAAAGATAAGTGTCACTTTGAACTGTCTTCTGGTGACATCACTCTGGGTGTTCAAGACTTTTTCAGATTCTTCTAATTTTTTCAGTGAGAACCTTCCTGACTTTTAGCAGTCTTGCCATGGGAGAGAAGGTGTAATTTCTGCAACGACAGAAATTTCTTTTGGAAATCAGAAGAAGTCTATAACCTTTTATAGTTGTAAATGCACATTTCTTCATAAACATGCTTTTATTTCCAAACATGTAATTTCTACCAGTTGCTTGACTGCTGCTTGATTATTCCTGAACATTAACTAGATTAATTAGTACACAACAAAGTCTTGTACCTTGCCCAGTGATGAAGAAGCTAGAAAACTTTGGAAAGTGAAGAATTAATTTTATATTTTTTTTCTTTTCAGTGGTTGATTAATGAAACACTCATGTAGAGGCTGACAAAGAATTTCTGTAAGAATGTTAAGCATGATGTGGCATGATTGATCAATGTCAAATTACTTTGAAAAAATTAAAACAGTATGCAGAAAGCTTTTATTTATTCCCAATTAAATAGTATTTATTCCTGGTTGATTTTCACTCAGTTTGCATAACAACATAGGCTAATATGTATTTCAAGCAATTTCAGAGGAAAATTAATATGAGTAATTTTACATTACATTAATAAATGTACATTAATAAAATGTAAAATCAAGAAATTGAGTAATTAATACATTACATTAATAAATGTACATTAATACAGTACATTAATAAAATGTAAAATCAAGAAATTCTCTGCTGTACTTCTTTGGGTGGACCTGAAGTTTAGATACTTTGGACAATGCAGTTAATTTTAAATTCCCACGTTGTGTATTTGTTTATTTACAGAGACCACTATAAAACAGAATATGAAAAGAGACTGTATGAAGAGTTGGAACAAATAAGGCTGAAAACAAATCAAGAAATCGAGCAATTAAGAAGCACTTCAAAAGAGATGTATGAACGTGAAAACAGGTAGATAAGATGCGGGCAGTAAACCAATCAGGGCAAAAATGACCAAGTACTGATCTGTGCGTGGGTATAATCCTAGTTCACTGGCTCTTTGAGAGGTGATCAAAATGTGAGAATTTAAGTTCAATTATAAAACTGATGAGAATCTTGAAAAACTAAAATGAAATTATACTTGTACAGTAAATATATGGTGTTATGTTTATTATTAAATGATGGACATCCAACACTGTCAGTTAAAAGTATTATAAAATTCATGTCCTAGATAAACACTAGTTTGAAGTTTGTTCGTTATATAGTGTTAGTTAATTAATACAAAATGTGTTGGTTTGCCTGTCAGTCTATGAGAAGGTGTTGACACAGAAAGTAAAGCAGAAAAAATGAGAGGAAACCAGTAAGACTTATGTCTTTCTAAAATAAATCTATTTGTGATTGCTTACAGCATTATGATTCAAAAAAACCCATTGATTTCCTGTAAATTATTATAAATTATTATGCTCTTTTGAAGAAGATCCTAGTCCTGCAAAGACCTGCATATTGAATTTTGTATGTGTGTCATGTTGTTGAATTCCATGGAATTACATGCAGAGTTAAACACAAACATAAGCCTTTAGGGATCTAAGGATTTGGACTTTTGGCACTGGATTCCTTTCTGAGCTTGTTTTTAGCTCCTTTTATTCCCTTAAGATGGGAAGAGAGCTTAATAATTCATTGTAACTTCATTGTAGATGTCCTGAAAGTGTCTTGTGTGGAGAAGGAAATGACTGTAGTAAAAAGATATTTGTGGCATCAGCATCTGTTCCTCTAATAGTTAGTTTTGTTACTGCTCGGAAGAGTGAAAAAAGAACATGACTCCTGCTGTCTGTCTTCCAGTCAACAGAAAGGTTCTAATTAAAAAAAATTACATCATTATGTAATTTTGCAAGTGTGAGTAGAATATATATGCACACACATCCACACCACTTCCTGTATGTAAATCTATTTTTAATTACAAGGTATGAATTTAAACCTCCACTGTTAGTGGAGATTTGACAAAGGTCTCTATATCATTGAGAAAGCTACTGAAAGATATTTAATTCGTATCTGGAACCAATTTACAGAAGTTTCATTCCTCAGTTTTTAATAATTGCTTCTGAAATGTTAATAACTTAGATTTGACTTTGTATTTTGCAAAAAAAGATTTTTAGCATATACTTTCTCTATAAAATATTTTTAAAAATCCACCATAAGGCAGTGCTTCCCAGTCTGAGGTGACCCTCAATGGCGAGATACATGGGACCCCAAATTGTGAGCAAAGCAGTTTGCAATGGAGTTGTATGATGTGATGAGATCCTGATTGTGACTGAAAATAAAGCTAAGATGCTGGTTTTGTCTTCAGACACAAAACATGGAATGGTATTACAGCTAAGCTAATCGGATATTCAGTTGCTCTTACTCCTTACCACTTTGCCAAGCCTGAGGGTCCTAATGTTTCCCTTGAATTTATGGGCACTTATTTTACACTTGGATGAGTCAGTTCAAGAAGCTAAAATGGGGGGGGGGGGGGGGGGGGCTGAGGGAAAGAAGAAAATAATAATTCTTAATTTATTTGGGATCAGTTTGACTTGTTTGGTTGTAGTAACTATTGGCTATGTTTGTATTAGCAATCGTGAGTGGATTCATGGGGCTTGTGAATGTCTTCATGAGGCTTGATTTTGAATTAGCTGTAGTCTGTGCCCTTAGATCAAACACAATTTAGTAGTTCTGAGCATGTTAGATGCTCTCCCTGAGTATGTCTTCTGGCTCAGTCTGACTGGAATCAGATTTGTGCTATCTATAACAGTTCAGGGATGTGAGCTGAAGTGCAATAAATGGTAATTGCCAAGAGCTTTATTTTAAAAGCTGGTATAGATGCCTTTGTACTTCTGCTTCCCCTCCCCTGTTGTCCTCCCACCATTTTTTTTCCCTATACCTGAATCTGTAGGTAGTATTTATTTCCCATTTTAGAAGGGTACTTTCACTTGTATGATAGACTTGCTAGAGACCTGATGGTCCATATAGCCTGTATGTGCAGCCATCAGGTGCTTTTCCTCTTCTAAAATTGCAGTGGCACAATCTGAAAACTGGCAGTATCCCTAGTGTGTTTCCCAGCTCTGAAAATGTTTCAACAATAGAAGTTATATCACATCTGTGATTGTGATCTTGATGGTTGAGTAGTACCTCACTTGTGTCTTTTTTCCTTCTATTGCATTTTCAATTGTTTAGCTATTCAGTTAAGTAAAATGGTTTCTTGTCTAAACGAGTCACTGTGTATCTCCTACCACTTAATTTTTATCCCACTTCAATTATTCTAGTCTTAGGATACAACATTGCACTTCTACTTCTTCAAGCATGCTTGAACTTAATGCTGTTAACAAAACTAGTTACCATGTTCTTACATTTTGGTATGAGTCAATTTTAAAGAATCTACTCTCAAGATCAGTCCCTGAATTTCATTGGTAAATTCCGTGGCCAGTAAAAAATTACCTTTCATAGCCAGTTAGCTGTTACATAATTCTCATGCTGATTCTTCATAAGTAACGATTTTCTACTCATATGAATTACTTTGAGTTCTGAAAAGTAGCATTGATAACATTTCCATTTATAGAAAATAGTCTTTCATCCAAAAATTGTGTCCCTTTAGTGTGGCTAAAATGACCTGGGATAACATTTACATAGGATTAATAATTTTCCATTTACCTCTATATCTTGAATTTTCTTTCTTCAGGATTTGCCTGAGACTGTAATTTCACTTTGCTTTAAGTCAAAAAGTTTCTGTGGGGGAGGGGGGAAGAAACAACTTCAGTGGGAAGAGCTTGGTTACATCTACATGAACAGTTTAGTTCAGATGAAGAATGTGGTTTTGAAGTGAAACCCCCTAGTCACTGCTGCTTGACATGTTTTTGCTTGCCTCACAGTTTGTGGTACTGCGCTCACATTTGTAACACATGAACAGGATTCCTTTTAGAGGAAGTGAACTTGAAAGGCGTCTCTACGATCATCTAATACATTCCAAATGCTAGTGAGTGCTCAGATCACAGGAACAAACCAGGAGTAAAGTAGAATCCTCAAAAACAGTCCTAACATAGGTGTCTGGTCCTCAACAACCAAGGCTCTGCAAACTGGCTGTTACTGTCTTGCGCGAAATAACGGAGATACAGTTTATAAGCCCTATCTAAGCAGTACTTAGTACAGTTTATTGTTACATTATACTACAGGCAAACTATAGATTAACAGACTACTAATACCTATATCATTTTCTAACATAAATACTAATGTATTATTTGTCAGGTGATGCTATTCTCATTTATGTCAGTGAAGTAAGAATGAGATAATTTGCAAGTCTTGACTAAATTGGTGAGGAGTTTAGCGGGGAAGCTGTATGAGGAGAGGTTGAAGTCGCTTGGTTTATTCAACCTGGAGAAGAGGAGACTGAGAGGAGATCTCATCACAGTCTACAACTTTCTCACAAGGGGAAGAGAAGGGGCAGGTCCTGATCTCTTCTGTCTGGTGACCGATGATAGGACCAGGGGAAATGGTAGGAAGATGTACCAGAGCAAGTTTAAGTTGGACATTAGGAAAAGGTTCTTCACCCAGAAGGTGGTGGAGCACTGGAATAGCCTCTCCAGGGAGGTAGTCATGGCACCAAGCCTGACAATATTCAAGAAGCATTTGGACAACATGTGCCCTCAGACACATGGTCTGAATCTTGGGATTGTCCTATGCTAGGGCAAGAGTTAGACCCACTGATCCTTGTGGGTCCCTTCCAACTCACAACGTTCTATGATTCTTGATTAAAAAATTGAAAGATTATAGATTGTTTGCAATAAAATGTTTGTGGTTTTTTGATCTGCACAGAACCATAAAATATGATGCCAGCAATAGAAGCTAAAAGGAAACACCAATAATGTGCAATAACATATATCAGACTAACTAGCTAATTAGTTGTATGTGGAATTAGGTTTTCTAGGCCTAGCTAATCTTTTCCTGCTCTATAATGAAAGTTGTGAATCATGTCAGCTAGGAGGACAGCATTCCCCTAGTTACTGGTGAACTACCAAACAAAATTATTGGAATTTATTTAATTTCTACAAAAAATAAGTAATTTACAATTCTAGTAATATGAAGTAATTCCAGAATTATTCATATATTTCTACATATAAATAGATGGTTTGATTATTGGTTTTAGAATTTCAGAACTGGAAACTTTGGTATATATGAAAGTAATCTGAAATAAAGCCTCTGTAATGAATAGGTGTATAGAGACAAACCCCTCAGTCATTCTATGAGAACTGAAGAAGGTAGTATGGAAGTTAAGGTCAGTCCGTAGTAATTCATTAAGCAAAACAGTCTTTTTCCTAACAGATTCTTGACAGAATCACTTTGTTTCCCTCAGAAATTTGAGAGAAGCGAGAGATAATGCTGTTGCTGAAAAAGAAAGAGCAGTTCTTGCTGAAAAGGATGCTTTAAGAAAATATGATCAACTCTTAGAACAGTAAGTATCTTCTAAAATGCGCATAAGAAAATCTAAAGGTATGACTATATTTATATCTGAATTTTAGGTAGGAGGAATGACTGCTTTGGCTTTCTGCTTATAAAGAATAAATTGATATGCAAACATTATGTTTAAATGAAGTTAAAGTTTTAATTCTAGTAGTATGTTTTTTATGTTACCAGTGCAGTAACGATATTATTTTGATTCTTCTCCTACAATCCTGTAAAGACAAGCAAACCTAATGATGCATCTCATAGCAAGAATGTGGATTTCATACTGTACAGTAGCAGGGGTCAAACTCTGAACCTTTTCTGATTTTTTGGTTTTTGTGTTGTTTTTTTTTTTTTTTTCCCCTGTGGTTGACAGTAGAATATTGTCTAGAATGATGACTTCATTTAATAGTTTCTGTAAAGTACACTACTACTTTAGAGTGTAGTAGTCATGAACAGTTATGCTTGCTACATGCTTCTTTTCTTCCTGCTGCCTCTTTTCAGTCTTTCACATTACATATATAAAATACAGTGTCTCTACAAACGTACAATTTATCCATATGGACACGGAAATTATGACTGATTTTCTGCCTGTTTGCAAGTAGTCTTACTATCCTGCTCTGCAGCAACTTGTCTTTACTTTTTGTAAATTTAGAATATTGGTTATGGTAAATTATGAGGTAATTTAAAACTATGGAGAGTAATCAAAGCTGTTCAGGGTGTTTGTCATATGTCCTTAATTTCAGACTTGGTTCATTGTTTAATCCACACCTTTTTCTAAAATGAAAAGGTCAGTTCATTAACCAATTGTGCCATCTAGTCATCTGCTTAAAGTACTTGATATTAACTGATTTTGCTTTGAATTGTTTTTAATTTGTGGTGGGTTGACCCTGGTGGGTAGCCAGATGCCCACCAGAACCCACTCTCTCACTCCCCCTCCTCAACTG